GACTATGTAGTCTGAGAATAAGCGTGATGAAGTAAGCCAAGTTCGTTTTTGTAGTTTGATTTTTATATACATATATATATATATATATACATATATTTATATATATAGACATATACATATACAAGATAAACAGTGATTAAGCTCTATCCCTGGTATTGAGCACTCTTCCCAGACGATCTGGTGCCTTATACTTGTGTAAAAAAAAATATATATATATATATATATATATAATGTATATATATATAATGTATATATGTGTAGAACCCCTATTAATGGGTCACCATTGGGACCATGTATATATATATTTATATATACTGTATGTAGGACCCTATTAAGGGGACCTATAAAAAAAACACTAACAACTTGGTAATCAGGGTGCAGGCTAAATACGCAAAACAAGAAATCCCCATGGTTATTAGTCAATATTGGCAAGTTTGTATTTATAAGTAGCATATGCACTAGGCATATACCAGTGTCCATTCTAAAGATTGAGAAAAACAATTCTGGTTTGATGTTAGTTTGTTGCTCAAAAGGTATCTGAATATAAATATAAATGATTTTTTTCTTATTTTGAGACTTAGTTTTGATTCAATAAAAAAGTGCCCACTTAATAGGGATTAAATTGTGTTCATTTGATCATTTTTCACACACAGAAAGTTTCCCCGTCCCCTTAATAGTGTTCCCCCCCAGATGTGTATAATAGTAGTGGTGTCCCTTAATAGGGTATATTCCTCCTAGTTTCACGGAAAATATATATGTATATTTTGGGATTCGAACCTGCAACCCCTCGCAGTCAAGGCGAGTGTCATACCATTAGACCACGGGTACCTACGCTTTCGTAGCGCCGGGAATTACCTTCCCCCCCCCCCCCTTAGTCCGATTTGCCGATCAAAAACACGATTGCCAATCCCTAATGTAATAATATTTAGGTTCTTGAGGAGTAATCAATTGTTTAATTTTACATGCCACAATGTTGTTATTAGTTTAAGTACCGCAGGTCTCTCTTGAAATAGTTACGAATGTTCTGATTATGTAAAGTATTTATTATAAGCCTGGGCGATTGGAGTAGGGGGTGAAAATATGAATTTTCTGAAAACGTGAATATAAACAGTATACCTAGTCCTAGAATTTTCATTAAATTCAAAATACGGCTCGACCGAAAATTTGGACGTCGGAGCTTTCGGTGGTTCCTTACCCGACCGGGGAGAATTCAGTAGCGGATTCAATGGGGACCAGCTGGCCCGTGCCCCCTAATTTTTTTCTAAATTATTTTGAAAATTGGAGAAAAAAGAAAATTATATTTAAATGTTAAGTCTGAGAATGCTATTTCCATCTAGAGGTGCCATAATCATAAATTTTCTTACCTCAGTACTAAACATGGTGAGCCGTCAGACCCTCGATCTGTGAAGCTCTCCCATTGGACCCGCCAGTTAAATTGATGCCTCTCAGCACCGCCTCCCCCACCTACTAGCCACTTGACTCAGGTACGGTGGTTCACGCTTCATATCCAAGGGCCCGGTAATTTATTTTGCACTGGAGCCCGTTCTCACCGTACCTAGCTACGTCGCTTGACTATTACAACATGTTCCGATTCGAGCACTGTAATTATTATTTACAAAGTGGCTACGTATTATTTATCTGGTTATATTGTTTTTACGGTGTTCCTGCCCTCACGACACTCACTCTCATGTTGAAACTCTGTTAATGTAGGGGGATACAAATTATCAGAATTATTATTATTATTGAAAATGAATGTAAAATAATATTTAAAAGAAGAACAGGAAGAAGGAAGAATAGGATAGAAAACTGATGCGCCTTAAATTATTATCCGAAAAATAATAAACAATATGTCAGTATTATATTCATGTTTTTGTAATAAATTTTACCACTAATCATCAAAAATAAAATCGGAAAAAAAAAACAATAATCAGTCAACCAACAGTCAAGAAGCCTTCATTCATTTCGGGTATGCATTCATTAATTTTTATAAAATTATTACTTTTACCATGATTGTTTCGATGCTATCGTAGTTTCTAAAATTTCAACAGTAATTCCTATAACCTAATTTATGTAACAGTCGAGTTAAGCTTCCGATCTATTCAAACAGACATCTTGATGGAGAACTTTTGGAATAATTGAAAGCAAAAAAATAACACAATACATTATAAACAAAAATGTAAAACAAAATGCTAAATCGTCAAATTTTATAATTTATATAATTTTGTGCAATATTAAAAATTTATGATGAATTTGGTTGGAGGACCGAGTGCTGTGGTTGCGGTGATTTCCAAAATTATTGGACAATAAAAATTAATCTGTATCTGTATTACAATAATTAACGCATAACTAAATTAGTGCTTCAAATTGAGGGATAAAATGTATGTTTGACTTAAAAAAAGGACATGTAAAGTCAAGGACTGTAGTGGTGTACAAGAGGTGCAGGATTTTGTTCCTGTAGGCCAACTCTAATACCTTCATTTTGACCCGGTCTCTCTGCACCCTCTGTCGTCATCAATGTAATATAGCTCTATTATTAGATACAAGATACAATACAATACCAATCTTTCTTTATTCTGGAAATCTTTTTGAATACAATTTAAGTGGTCTCCCAAGAGGTCCAGATTTGTTACAGTAAACATAATATAAATTAAAATATAAGAAAATCAAGGAAATGAAAAAAGAGAGGTAAAAATTATGAAAGCATTACCGTACCTTTACTATGATCTTTTCTATACATGAACGAGTTTTAGTGTCTTAGTCACATCATAAATTCTATTGAACAGTCAGGTCTTGTCCAAAAATCTCCATAGACATTAGGCCTATACGATATATTTTCTGCCAAAAAGTGGAAGGGGTTGGGGGCTAGTCCAGGGGTGGCACCAGCGGGGGGAGGGCAACCGTCGGGGAGAGCTGCCCTCCCCCTTCCCCCCGTCTCTGAGAAAAAACACAATTTGTCAGGGAGGAAAAAAAATGTATGTGTATTTTCTACATATTAGTAGACCCAAAATACTGTAAGCCTTTAAAACTTTTAAATTGTCATATTTTTCGTGGATTATTTTCGAGAGATTTTGAATGACGCCAGACCACGCCCAATTTTTTTCGTCGGCGAAATCTTCCCCATGTCGGGGACCTCGGACCCCCTGTCGGGCAAATCCTGGCGCCACCACTGGCCTAGCCCTCCGTTTCCGACGACCATGTACTATTATGCATGATTAGTTGTGTTTGTTGCTAGTTTATTTAGTTAATAATCTTATTTAGTTAAATTTATCTTTAAACTAAAAAAACGAATCATGCTTTACTTTAACGAGTAGGTTTAGTTTTATATGGTTAGGCCTAGCCCTACATATTTGTTTACTCTTACTGGATAAGTATCAAACTCAGAGAGCTCATTACCAAGTACACAGAGCCTTTTATTGGCTTTTTTTTATCAGTACAAGGAAAAGCCATTGTTTTTGTTCTGATTTGTTTTTCTTCCACACGTTTTCCTATCTTTTTGCACAAGGTATTTCTGACCGGTACTTTTGTCACTTTCCATGCTTGAATCCTATGCAAAATTTGTCTAAACATAGACCAGGGGCGGATTTAGGGGATGGGGGTGGGAAACATACGACCCGCCCCTCCCCTCCTTCACCACTTTTGGAAAGTAAAAAGAAAAGAAAAAAATATTGATCGCCCAAACCGCCTCAGAGGTTATTTCAGGGCGTCTAGAAAACAAAAATGTCGCTGGGGAATTTCCATGGACGCATCCCCAAGACCCCTTAGGGTGGTAATGTTGTCTTCGATCTCCCCTCCCCCACATTGGTCCCCATTTCGGACCTTGTAGACCATATAGGCCTATCAAAGATGTGTAAAATTTAGTGTGGTGTCGATGAGGACGAATTTCAGAGACTTAAAGGCAAACACCCCACACCGGATATTTAAAAAACGGATCATTACATTATATTTATTTGACTAAACGCCCGGGGTGTTTATTGTTGGGAAGAGTTTTTGAGGGGCGTTTATTCGAGGTAGGCGTGTATTAGGTTATTATTTTATTTTTTCAGTAAAATGGATAATAGGCCTACATGCCTACTCGTATTTCACTGTAGCTTAAATGTGAAACTACAACACATAGGCTAATTAACGTCAAAATGTGTTATTGTTTGATCATTAAGAATTACTCATTAGTCAGACTAACAGGTTAGAAAAAATGTAATTGTACTGGAATAGAACATTAATAGAATGTGTTGAGAATGATGTTGCTTCCATTAGATTT